TGCTTCTGGATATGTCTGGCAGCATGCACAAAGCGGACGGAAGTCCTGCTGCTCCTCCGTTCAATCCCGTGGGCCCGAAGGTGTATTGCAATCAACAGCGAGGTCTCGTTCGAGAGAAGATCAACCTACAGTTCATTGAGAAGTGCGATCGACAGATTGAGAAGTGCGATCGACAGCGGCCAGCTCGTCCGCTTGGATTTCCGACCATGGAAAGCATCTCTATAAATACTCAGGTAAGCCAACTTCGTCTTAAGTTTTACCGGTACTAAGAGGTAGGGTGAGTGGGATTGATCTCTTGGTACTGGAATGTACCGAAGACCAGTTGACGGAGAGGAAAAGCAAATAGAGCAGTAGTGTGAAGGTGACCGACGGCTCCAGTCGGATCCACTCGAAACTGATTTTCCATGCGGCGAAGCTGGTTAATGTGTGGGAGGGGTAAGGTTACTTGGAGGAGGAGGCGCAGGAAATGATGATGGGAAGGGTCGAGGGAAGCAACGGTAGTTCGGCTGTCAAGAGAATTCGGCTTGATACATTGCAATGTGAAAGATGTATGAAGTAAGGGAGTGGGTATACAAGCGAGGTGGGCGAACCAATCAACCGTACCAACGTAAATATCGAGACTAATTTACTGCCTCTTTTTTCCGCACCCTCCAGGTATATGCTGGTGGATCAGGACGGTGGTTCTTCTCGTGTTGTGGGCGTTCCGACAATGCAGTGAGATTCTCACTCTAAACACCAGATGCTTTCTGTCCCTGAAACGTACTGTGTGCGGGACTTTCAAGAGATGAACGCCTTCTTGACATAACGAAGCACCACTCTTTTTGAACAGGGAGGATAGCATGGGAGCTGATGTCTCAATCAACATTGTGCCCATTAAAAATTCTATGGAAAATTCCGGCTACGCACAGGCAGGTCTAGAGGTGTAACTGTTTTGATAGCCTATGCCCAACACGCGGTGCTCTATGGTCCAGTGGTGCAGCCCCGCCCCTTGATTGCTAGAAGTCCCAGAAAGAAGAACTTAAACAACAAAATCAGACAAACACTACTTGCGGCGAATGCGTCGCGGCCTTTGCCTTGGAGCACGTTATTTTGGAGTGTCTAGGCACTGCGGGAAGGCCATGATGACAGGAGAATTCCTCTTTCAGAACTCTGCTTATTGGCGGTTACGTAGCACGCTTGAACATGTCACTTTAAGTTGATTACCAGTTGTAAGATGTAATTTTCTATGATCAAAGGGCTGTTAAACCATAGTTTTGTAATGTATGTTTCTTTTCCTGCACGTTTTCTCGTTCATGTTCCTTCCAAGACCACTGTTGGGTAGTTATCCTCCCCTAGTGACTACTGAACACTGCTTGGTTCGGTGTTTCTATTTCTGTTGCATGCTTCCTGGTTTGTGTTCCTTCTGAGACCTTCACTGATAGAGGGTTGAACACTGGTTTGAGGGTATGCCAACTTCTGTACACTTGAGTACTTTTCGCACTCTCGGTGCGAGGCAATCTTAATCAAGTGTGAGGACTACATTTCCACCGTCTGCATATCTTTAGCATGGCGAGTNTTTTCTAGACTTTTAGAACAATAATGAACAAGATGGATGGTTTATCATCATTATGTTACCTTTGAAATATTGACTACGTCACGACCGCGCTGTCACACATGCAGCTGTAACATCTTTCGCACGCATCGCGTACGCACGCCGAACAGTCTCCTAATGAGTACAGCCCTGTTTGTTCAATT